GAGATCGCTCTGGAGAAGCAGCAGCGCTGATCTCTCTAACGGCTTAATAATACCAGTTACAGCGCCAAATAAACATGAACGAGCGTCTGAAAGTGTGTTAAAGATAGAGTACAACTTATCGAAATCCGTATCATGTCACATTGATTCGCTCAATCAGCGTTTCAACCGTGGAAAGGCGTCAGTTAAACAGCTTGTAATCAATGTATCGTCATATTTACCTCAGAAAACCCACATAAACTCGTTAGTCAGCTAGAAAAAATAACTCTAGAGAGGAGCATTTTGCTAAATATATACACCATATTACATATGCATTATAATCTTAATGTTCTTCAATATTTAATGCATATTTGAATAAATCTGGCAAGTTTTTATGACAGTCACCATTTAAATGTTTATATTTCATATTATCTTATTATTATAAAAATAAATAAAAGTGTAATTTAAGTGTTTGTTAGCTACAAAACAGTTGTAATGAAGGCTAATGAAGCCTATAGGCTACAACTAGACTCCCATAGTTTACAGCATTAGTTAAGAGATTTGTTTCCCTTGAGAAAAATGGCCATTTATTGTAAATGATATCCAAAATAATCCATATTGAATCGAATCATAATCGAAATCGAATCGAATTGCAAGCTTGTGAATCGAAATCGAATCGAATTGTGAAATTTGTCTCAATACCCAGCCCTACATTTTACATTGTTTATTAATATACAAAAGTGTCTGAAATGTCATGTTCTGTCCTGTACTGTCTGTGTGCGTATTTAGAGCGATGCCCAGAGAAAGGCCACAGACATGTCAGACAGTTACGCCACGGCTTGTGTCTATTTATGGCAGATATGAGCATTTTAGATTACAGAATTATTGGAGCAAAAATATTTGTGGTGCAATAGTTGATGTGACTGACAAGTCACACACACACTCTTTCGCCAAACAAAGAGTGGGCTTGAGTTCACGCTACAGTGATGATGTCAACCATATCTGAGTATGTTTTGGAAAACTCAAAGACCCATAAAGAAAAATTGCCTTTTTAATGAACTGAATCAAGATGCAACACCTTCAGAAAAAAAAAGGCATTTCAGTGTCTGTAATGCTTTGACTGCAGTATTACTGCATTTTGCAGCTGAAATAAGTTGTTTGACATGGCTTTAGAGTGCACTTGTTTACAAGCATGTATGCATAAATGCCCTGACAGATCTTCCGGCATTGTCCGTCCATATTTTTCATCCCAAACTAGGGTCAAAGGCGTATTAACAAACACATTTCTTACCACAGACATGTATAAGGCAAGTCATCCAGACTGAATAAGGCCTTTAGATTTATGCAGTTTTAGACACTGAATGTCTTTTTTGTAAGTGGAAGATGATGATTATATGCTGTACTGGCTAATAAGGTCATGGAAAAGTTTTAATCCTTATACAGTATGTGGTAGAATGTGCACTCTAAAACATGATGTGTTGGATTTACTTCAAATATATATGCGCCATTTTTGCATCATACTTTTAAAGTAATCCCAACTAGGAATAATTTTACTGAAAATTAACAAGACACCCTTTGTTATATGTACTTAAATATTTGAGTTCAAGTAACATTCTTTACTTAAAAATGTATGCATTACATTACATATATTTTTAAGTGAAGAATGTTACTTGAACTCAAATATTTAAGTACATATAACAAAGGGTGTCTTGTTAATTTTTTTACTTTAAAAGTATGATGCAAAAATGGTACATATATATTTTAAGTGATTCCAACACAGTGCAGGCCACGTGAGATCAAATCAAATCTTAGTTCTGTTAACTTAACATTTAAGCTCATTTATAAAAAGAAGACAATTAAATGAGTTGAACCAACCATTTGAACTTATTTTAGATCTTATATTCCAGGCACAAAAACGTCATGCTGTCTTCTTGGATTCTTGTTCCCTAAAGTAAAGTAAAGTAAAATACTATTTTTCCTGGAATTTTTCTGTGATATTTACAGTATAGAGTTATGCAGAGTCAAAACCCGGAAGACTAATTCAGCATGGGTTCCCTCAAGATTTTCCAATGGGGTTTTAAAATGTGTTTTTTCAATTTATGAGCAAAATAAGGTCTGTGGTAAACATAACTTGGGGTTTATAAACGCTATTATAAAACTACCTAGGAAAATCTCAAGGGAACCGGTGGCGAATTAGTCTTCTGGGGTTTGAGTTTATGCGAGGTTCGTCACAGATAGGATGCTAACTCAAGCTGTAGAGCCACTTTTGTAGAAGCTAAAAATATGAAGATGAACAAGCAGATTTTTCTATGTGATCCTTTCAGATGGCCTAAAGTAAACAATGGATTTTAATTCCATTATAGGCCTTTGAAAATGAAACATTGGTTCGTTCTGCTGAGGTAAACGACCCTCCCTGTGCAAACACATTTTCTGTTTTCTCTTCACACAGTACCAAAGTGAGTCCCTTGCTACAAATTGAGGTTGAGCCAACATCTGATGTGAGTCATCCTGCTTCTATTGCAAATGTGTACAATCATATGCTAAAACCTGGGTACAAACACTCTTAAAAATAAAGGTTCTTTATTGGCATAGATAATTCCATGAAGGACCATTAAAATCCATGAAACCTTTCCATTGCACAAAAGGCTCTTTAGATTATTAGAATGTTTACTGTATAAAAAAAGGATCTTTTAAGAACTGTTTACTGAAATATTCCTTGGGGAACCAAAAATGGTTCTTCTATTGCATTGCTTTGAAAATCCCCCTTTAGAACCTTTATTTTTAAGAGTTTTAAGATTCTATCCATCCATTATTCTGTACACATCTATCGCTCTATCATCTCTGTCTGTCTGTTATTCTGTCTGCCTGTCTATCCATCCATCTATCCATTATTCTCAGCTGTCTGTCTGTTAATCCATCCATCCATCTACCCATCTATCGTTCTATCTATTATTCTTTATATCTATCTCTCTATCATCTGCCTGTCTGTTAATCTGTCCATCCCTCCATCCACCCATTATTCTTTATATTGATCACTCTATCATCTGCTGTCTGTTAATCTGTATTATAATCCATCCATCCGTATGTCTGTCTATCGCTCTATCATCTCTGTCTGCATATCTGTCTGCCTGTCTATCCATCCATCCATCCATTATTCTCATCTGTCTGTCTGTTAATCCATCCATTTACCCATCTATCGTTCTCTCTATTATTCTTTATATCTATCTCTCTATCATCTGCCTGTCTGTCAATCTGTCTATCCATCCATCCATCCACCCATTATTCTTTAAATTGATCACTCCATCATCTGTCTGTCTGTTAATCTGTTTTATAATCCATCCATCCGTCTATCTGTCTATTCTATCTATCTATCTATCTATCATTCTTTTTATTATTTTATATCTATCGCTCTATCATCTGTCTTTCTGTAAATCTGTCCATCCATCCATCCATCCATCCATCCATCCATCCATCCAGTATTCTTAGCTTTCTGTCTGTTAATCCTACCCATCTATTGTTCTATGTATTATTCTTTATATCTATCTCTCTATCATCTGCCTGTCTGTAAATCTGTCTATCCATCCATCCATCCATTCATCCACCCATTATTCTTTATATCTATCTCTCTATCATCTGCCTGTCTGTCAATCCATCCATCCATCCATCCATTCATCCACCCATTATTCTTTATATTAATCACTCTATCATACCTGCCTGTCTGTCTTAATCTGTCCATCCATCCATCCCATCCACCCATTATTCTTTATATTGATCACTCTATCATCTGTCTGTCTGTTAATCTGTTTTATAATCCATCCATCCGTCTACCTGTCTATTCTATCTATTTATCATTCTTTCTATTATTTTATATCTATTGCTCTATCATCTGCCTGTCTGTCAATCTGTCAATCCATCCATCCATCCATTCATCCACCCACCCATTATTCTTTATATTGATCACTCTATCATCTGTCTGTCTGTTAATCTGTTTT